AATGCGAGCTTGTACCTCTGCACTCGCCGAGATATGGCCACCTGTGTAGCCACCGAAACGATCTGAAGAAGTCGTTCCTTGAAGACTCCTTTCAGAGCCATCGTTCCTCCGTCCCTTCCTCCCACGGCATGTGTCGCAAGTTCATCGATGAACTCGTAACCCTCCTCTCCAAGGCGGCCAAAGCTTTCCACGGCATCCATGCTACATCGTTTATTTTATGTTAGCTGCTAGCCCTATTTTTTATTGCAGCACACCCCTCCCTCCCCCCGGAGTACACCTCCCTCTCCCCCGGTGTTTGCCATCGGGGTTGAGTTATCGTCGCTTGAAAATGATGTTGTGAAACAAGCCCCCCCTCGGTGTTTGCCACCGGGATTGGGTTTTCGTCGCTTGGCAACAACGTTGGAAAAAAAGCCATTTCACTTCATGAACTCGGTGAAGGCCACCCTAACTAACTCTCGAAATCATGGGTGCCACTCCTTGTGGAGGTGTCTTTTTTTTCCAAGACATTCTTTATTTCGGAGTCCATCACATTGATTGGCGCCCCCCACACCTCAATCAATATATTGTGATACTGCTGTGTAGTAAACGGGCCAATGATAGCAACGCACGAGCCTACTGCAGGTACGTTTTTCAACAATAACTATTCCAACACGGAGATGTAGCATGGATCAAAGCATTTGTTGGATTTCAGCTTTTACAAGCGGACATCAACGCAGTAGTATTTTAGCAAGCTTACGAACGCATATAGGATACCATCAGGATTGTCATTGGTAAGTTGAAGAGGAGATACTTTTACGATGTAAATGACAGTAGAAATAAGTCCTACATATGTTGTTGTACTTCGTATTGGTTTAATATTCATGTAGAGTATGAGACATTAAGTGAAAGTTTTCTGAGGTACATCTGCAATTGTCGGAAGGCAAAAAAAATAAAAATAAAAAGGTAACTATTCCACCTCCCGATCTAGTATTTTTTCAGCGTAGGCCCTTTCTTTTTCAGCCAAGACGGCGCTGGGCTTCCCGGGGGACTAAAGTTGACCTTTGACCGCTGATCCGCTGTCACAGCAGCAGCCTTATATGTGCAACTCGTGTTACCCTGTGCAAGTGCATCATACTCGCTTCCCAGCTCCTGCTGGCCATCTCAGACAAAAATTCAAGTCATTATTATTATTTTGTTTGCCCTCCGACAATTGCAGATAAATGCAGACATACATAAAAAGTCGATCGTAAAGGCCATCATGCCAAGCCAAATTGACTCGATGCCCAATAGCTAGGAATTTTTGCCTCTAAGTCAAACAAAACTTTGGTTGAAACACTACAGCTGAACTCTATATAATAGGCACGAGCCTTAGATGGAGAAAAACGAACAAAACCCCAACNCCCCCTCAGCACTCCCGACACCGTATCGAACATAAATCCGCTTTCCACCCACGTGGCTAGGTTAAAGCTGTCGCACGCATATTTGGGCGCGCAAAAGTGTGTGGGGCTTTATCGATACTGCCACCGGTCACACCAAGGGAGAAACATCCGCCGTCTTGCTCTCTCTTTCTGAGGCACCCCTCACTCAAGCCCATGTTCCCCCGGACCCCCGACACTGCCACCCCCTGTTCCTACTTCCTCGCCACATGCAACCACAAGGGCCAAGCCCTCCCCCCTCGGCACTCCCGACACCGTATCGAACAGAAATCCGCTTTCCACCCAAGTGGCTAGGTTAAAGCTCTCGCACGCATATTTGGGCGCGCAAAAGTGTGTGCGGCTTTGCTGATCGATACTGCCGCCGGTCACACCAAGAGAGAAACATCCGCCGCCTTGCTCTTTCTGAGGCACTCCCCACTCAAGCCCATGTTCCCCCAGACCCCCGACACTGCCACCCCCTGTTCCTACTTCCTCGCCACATGCAACCACAAGGGCCAAGCCCTCCCCCCTCGGCACTCCCGACACCGTATCGAACAGAAATCCGCTTTCCACCCAAGTGGCTAGGTTAAAGCTCTCGCACGCATATTTGGGCGCGCAAAAGTGTGTGCGGCTTTGCTGATCGATACTGCCGCCGGTCACACCAAGAGAGAAACATCCGCCGCCTTGCTCTTTCTGAGGCACTCCCCACTCAAGCCCATGTTCCCCCAGACCCCCGACACTGCCACCCCTTGTTCCTACTTCCTTGCCACCTGCAACCACAAGGGCCAAGCCCTCCCCCCTCAGCACTCCCGACACCGTATCGAACAGAACTCCAAATAGTTTTCCCATCCCCGGTCCCCGCCCTGCCTGCGGGCAAACCAGAGGTTTCCGCGACAAGATTTCGAGCACCCTATGTCAAACAACATCCCTCACCCAGCACACCCCTTGCAACAGCTTCGAATATTGAATTCAGCATGCTGGGAAGGCGATCAGGGAGAGAAAACAGGCAAGCTGTCAACCCAGTCCATTGCAAACTACAACTGCTGCTGTTGTGTACTGTACTTGTAGCGCGAATGAATGCCTTTTGCGCTGGGCATGAGATGGGAGAGAAAGCCGATGCGATTCAATTCCGACATCGAGACAACTTGGGGCCTGTTCAAATCATTGCTAACTAGACTTTCTCTCTCCCGCTGTATTCTCCGGGCACGGACAGGAGCGCCCAAGATTGGCGCTTATTAGGACGTGGAGATGATGATCGGCGCGGAGGACGTGGGGGAAGAGGGCGCAATGGACCCGAAATGGGGGGGAGGGGCGGCGGGCGGCCCCACACCAACAATCTCAATCTTCACGTTTTTGTGACCCGTGATCGCGAACCGCGCCATCAACACGACATGCGCGCGTTCGTGATGTCGGCGCGCTTGCACTCCACCACCCGAAAGCTTTCTGAGGTAATGTGCATACAGACTACCTACACGTTGCAATGGTCTGTGGACACCGCTCAACCGACGCCCACCCGCCCGCTCCATACACCAAATCTTCCGTTCTTTATTGTGAATTGAGTAATCGAGCCAGCGCACCCACCAGACACGGCGCATGTCGGTTACGCATGTTTGATTGCCACCTTTGCTGGCCCTCGCTCCCCCTGCGCTCACAGAAGAGTAACCTTAAACTGATGCTGGCTCAGCAACGTAAATCAATCCAGCTTTGCATCAAGCACTAGTTGAAAATGGAGTACGGGGAGTATGGAGGGGAGCTTGATGAGAAGGAATACCGGCTCTGTTCCGACACTGCTGCAGTTTGCTTCATCAAGAGAGCCAGTTCGGACGAAGAGTTTTCACCTCGTCCTCGGTACATGTGTATATATTGGTAGAACAGATAGAGGAAATTTGCAGCGCTCCGCCTCAGATGGGCGTGTGGCATGCCCCTGGCCTACCTTGTGGTGACGTCGCAAACCCCGCTTGATTTTTTTTGCACCACATGAGAAAGCGGGCGGGTCACACATTGCCTTCGGCCTCTATGCTGTGTTTCTTTTTTTTTTCATGACCTCCCTGCCTGCTCTGCTGTGTTGGGTACCTTGATCTCGCTTTGCTGTTGTTGCCTTTGTTTTTTTGTACGGCTGGCTGTCTGCCCATCTGCCGCCTCTTTGCCCTGTTTGCTCCGTTACTCCCATGCCCTGGTGCGCAGTGCCTGGTGCTGGTACGTTACGTTACCCTTTCATTTTTTCTTTCGGCGGGTGTGGGAAGCGTCCTCCTTTATTTATTTTTTTTGTTATTTTTGTTTTGTTTTATTTTGATCGGTGTCCGAGGGCTCTTTTCTCGAACAGTAGGTGCGATACCTGTTCTTTTCTTTCTTTCGATCATTTTGTTTTCTTTTTCCGAGTGGTTTGTATCCTATTTTTGTTTTTTGTTTTCTCGCGGCGTCGTATGTGCCGGGTTTTGAGACCACGGGCTCCCCATTTTTTGTGGACTATAGAGCTAATGTGAGAAACAACAACAACAACAACAACATGTTGCTTCACGAGAAGAGCTTTATGAAAACGGTATATTTTGTCTGGTACTGCTGCATACAGCAGGTATTCTTCTTTCGCAGCAAGAAGAACAGCTGGCCCCGTAAACAAAAACAGTTGGGCATTATTCTCTTGTTTGGACAGAAGGACCAAAAGATATCCATAAACTTTAACCAACCAATTACGATACGAACAAGCCTGTCTGGTGAGAAGGACTCCGATCTTTCTTGTGTGTTGTTTTATGCACCATTGTCGCGGGCAGGCAATCTCGTGGCTTGGAGACACGTCACAGTTCGGTGTCAGCAGGGTGATGGACATCTGCCGCGCGAGCTCGACGACCCTGGACGTGGACGCTGGTCCTACTCCTAACCGTGTATCATTCCAGGTATTGGGCATCACAGGGGTTTCTTCCCTCCTGGTGTGTAGGAGGGAATACCAAACTTTTTCACGGTTGGCGAAAGTGTGTTGGAATGGCCGCAATACATTGATGAGACCATCTGTGTGTGTAGGGAGCACGGAGATACGTTACATATTATTTTCATAACCTCCATGGTTGACAAAGTGAACTTTGCTTCTGTGTGACCGTCATGGTGCTGCTGTAGAATATTTATGGCGTACCGAACGCTAACAACCACGTTGGAAGCACCACCCTGTCAGATTCGTCTGTAGCTACAGATATTTTCAACCCTCGCGAACGTTGCGACACATTAACCCACATCGTTTTCAACGTATCCCTGCATTTTTTCCGGTGGAGCCAGCGCGTTTTTTTACCGTTGATCGATCTGGCGACATCGACGGAGTTCAAGAACAGTCCCCTGCGTACCGAGGTATGTGTGCATCCATGCGTTCGCATCCAATTTCATTCTAGCCATGAATTGTCGACGCCGTTTGCGCCATGTTAGTGAACATACTGGGGTCACTCGATACTCCCGGGCAACGGTGTGACATGTTCGTTTGAGAGCTGCACCATCATCACAGATCTCCGCCAACGCGCTTCCAGATGTAGGGGGAGTAGCGTGGGCATGTGCAGTCAGCGCTGACTGAGTGGTCTAGTGGATAAGTCCATCAAACGAACATGACATCATCATGAAAAGGGGAGAATTTCTTTCCCATCACCACCGCTCCCGCAACATATTAGAGGGAAGGCTATTATCTAACTCGCCCTCCCCCCCGGTCCTACACTCTACCACCTGGTGGGGACGTACGTACATCTCTACGTGCCCTCCGAAGACGAATGTTCTGTTCTCTACGCTATACAAACTGGACCAGGCGGACGGGCTGTGGCCTAGGGTGTTCGATGAACTCTCGAAGGTGCGAAAATGGAACGAACCTATTCTAGAGTGACAATGGAATCGCGTGTCAAAACAATAGCTGTACGATCCTGACAGTCGTACCCTCGTTCGATGAAAGCAATGTATGGAAGTTGAATACGGGCCGTACCAGAATTTCGATTAACTGAAAGGCGGGGGGGGAGAGTTTTCCGCCGGCGGTCGCATAGAAATGTAAGGACTTTCTACCAGGAAACGTGCTCTGCTGGTTAACCACAGGGAGTTACTTCTACGCAGTCGCTAAGAGTAGTACCTCCCTAGCACCATGTCTCGTCCTTCACGTTTGTCCGCTTCACTCTTGCTACTACCGGTGGCGGCGTTGCTCCTGATTCTCATGGAAAATATATCAAGCTCACAACACGCGGTTCGGTCCGAGACACGAGCTACACGGCCTTCCATCGCGACCGCGATAAGCAGATCAGCGGCCTGTGGGAGCCGTCCACGTGGGTGGATGTGGTTCTGCCAATCGCAAGGTATGCCGGACTCGTAGCGCGCGTGGTAAATGACTTCTCGACGTCGACCGACATGTAAGCTCCGACACATCCCCGCACGATTAATGATACTGTGTATCCTGAGGATGGGGCGTCGCCGAGTGAATCTTAAGGAGAAAATCTTAGGACGGCTGAGCACATTATAGGGAGAAAATCTTAGGACGGCTGAGCACATTATGGCCACATATTTCACGTGAATTTACAAGTCACCTCAGTAATGATACAAACCCGGGGACACGACCTGCTCTTGCTTCTCCTCAAAATTCATTCCCGGATATGTTCACTGGGGAGTGAGCTTTCGTCGTTGTGCCACAAACATATTGTACGGCGTGTGTGCTGAAATCCTCAGGTTCATGGTTGAGGTGACGAAGCGGTTTCGCGACGCTGTTCTGCTCGACACTGCATTTCAGAAGGCAGCGACGGAAACTCTGCCCAACCTGATAGCAGCGTGGAAGGTGAATTGCGTATGTATACCAGCAATTTTCGGGGTTGGATGTGCGGAAGCTGTCTGGGACTTGTCATGGCAAGTCGGGCCCTCTCGAAGAAGGGACAAATTCCAAACAGCAGCCGGCGTTGTGTCCAACACGTTGGCGACTCCTTTTCTCGATCTCCGCGCGCGAGACCAGGGTGGCGGTAGATGGGAAGTTGTCATGAAGATCAACACGTTCTTCGTGGTACAACGGGCTGCAGTACAGCCGCTGAATTAGTAATTGTTTCGTTTGTGGCTCAGAACCAGTACAACGTGATAATATCAGATCGGCAATAGTGAACCATCGTTGCCAAGAGTGGCAAACCCGTCCCAACCGAACGTCGGACAGAGTATATATGAAGCGCGACCTGCGTGCTGAAGGTGAAACTGTCGTCGCTGCGGTGCCCCTGCCCTGCGCACACGTCGGCGCCAAACTATTGTGCACCGCCACCGTCGTCTCGACCCCGTCCATGCACTACCACAACCAAACGCCTGTGGGTCTCGGTCGACCCTCGGTCTTTCGCCGGACCGTTTCACTTGCT